TTACCCGAAACCATCACACAAAACATGAATAATTCACTGTAAATAAACACAACACACAACACAACACCATCAATGTTCTCGTTGTAGATATGATGTATATATATCTTACGATTTCTGTAGTAAACGTCACAAGATTCTTGGGGTCACAGCTGAGGAGTAGCGAGGTTAGTTGCTCGAGCTGCCCAGTTCAATGGCTGAACAACTCTTGTTTCTTCCGGCTTTCTTACCGTCTTATATAGGCCTACTTGGCGGGTTCGCAGGGCAGCGTCTTGAGAAGTAGCGCGGAGGTTCGGATGGCTTGTTCTCCAACGAGGTCGTTTGGGGTCAAGACGTTTGTTTTTCCATTTAAGATTTCGCGACGATAACTCGGCAATTGCAGACGGAAAGGCGGCAGTTGTAGCACCTCCCCCTTTAAATCCTCGGTAGTTCTGACGAACGAGGAGGTCGTCGGCGGGATCTTCTGACGTTGGAAATTCTCTTGACAGGCTGTCAGCGATGACGTTATCTACTCCCTTGATATGTTTGACGACGAGGTTGTACTGTTGAAGTAGAAGAGACCATCGAAGAATGCGTTGATTTTGATTCTGCATGCGATGTATGAACACTAGAGGGTTGTGGTCGGTATACACCACCACAGGCTGACGGCTATGGAGGTAGCAGTCGAACTTCTTCAGGGCTAATACCAAACTTAAAGCTTCACGTTCTATGGTAGAGTACTGCATCTGATGTTTCTTCAGCTTTGCCGAGAAGTATGAAACTGGATGCATCACTTGAGTATTTTCATCCTCTTGTAGTAGCACCGCCCCAACACCATGGCCACTAGCATCAATCTGCAGACTGAAAGGACGAGAGTAATTGGGAGTTCTCAGCACCGGTTCCGAAGAAATGAAGAGCTTCAGTTTATCAAAAGCTTCAGCGCACTCGGGAGTCCACTGGAAAGCGCACTTAGAGCTGGTCATATCCGTTAGAGGCGCAGCTATAGATGAGAAGTTACTGCAGAAGCGTCTGTAGAATCCCACCATGCCCAAGAACCTCATGAGAGATTTCCGAGTTGTTGGAGTGGGGTATGCCTGGATTGCTTCTACGTTGGCCTGCTTGGGTAACGTCCGTCCCTGACCCACAATATGGCCCAAGTAGGTCACGGTGGCACTGCAGAAAGTAGATTTGGCCAAGTTGATGGTGAATCCAGCTTCGTCTAAGCGGGAGAACAGAGAGCGTAGCCTACGGATATGAACATCCCATGAGTCGGAGATTACAAGTAAATCTAAATAAGACTTTACACCTTCAAGACCCTGAATGGTATAATTGATTGCTCGTTGAAAGGTGGCTGGTGCATTACACATACCAAAAGGCATTACTGTATAATTATACAAACCAAAAGGAGTTATAAAAGCAGATATGGTTTTAGCATTATCTGTTAATCCTATTTGATAGTAACCTTTCTGCATATCAATTTTGGTTATGAATTTGGCTTGTCCTATCGAGTCTACAAGTTCTTCAATTAAAGGAAGAGGGTAGGAGTCAGGTATAGTTACTTTGTTTAACTTTCGATAGTCTGTACATAATCTACTGGTACCGTCAGATTTTGGCACTAGCAGTGAGGGTGAAGCCCATGGAGAATTACTTGGTTCAGCTAAACCATGATCAAGTAGATAATCTACTTCCTTCTTCATAACAGCTTTCTTCTCTGGACTGAGTCTATATGAGCTTTGCCTATTGGGTCTTACCTCGGGAGCGAGTACAACATCATGTAGAGTATGGCCACAAAACCCTGGGTTATCAGCTGTTACCTGAGGAAAATCTTTCAGTATTAGATATACATCATTTATCTTTGAGTCAGGCAAGTAATTTAAATATTTATGAAGATTAGCTATTATCTCAGAGTTATGTGGATTGTGAGGAGATGGGATTTCTATGTTATCAGTCTCCTCAATATACTCATTAGACATAGAAGTTATGGAAGATTCCTGAGGAATCATACATGCAATAGATTTGCCTTTGGCTAAGTCCTCCTTTGGCTGCCTGTCAATATAGGACTTGATTAAGTTGATATGTACCAACTGGGTATCTTTACGTCTATCAGGAGTTTGAACTACATAATTGTAATTAGAAACTTTATGGGAAACAACATAAGGCCCAGTGAATTTACTCTTTAGAGGGTTTCCTGGGATAGGAAGGAAAAGTAAAACCTTATCTCCAGGAGAGAATTCTCGAATTTGAGATTTTAAATCATGAGAAAACTTCATTCTGATTTGGGCGTTATTAAGATTAGAGAGAGCCAATTTCCTTGCCTCTGATAACTTAGCTCTAAGATTATCTATGTAAGATGCCACGGTTTGATTAGGGAGAGTTGAAGAGTCTGAAAACCACTGATCTTTAAGAACTTTAAGTGGACCTCTAATCTGTCTTCCATATAGTAATTCAAATGGAGAGTATCCAAGTGATTCTTGTGGACATTCCCTCAGGGCAAACAGAAGAAAATGAATGTTCTCATCCCAGGAATTCCCTGTTTCTAAGCAATACTTTTTAAGCATAGATTTTAAGGTCTGGTGAAATCTCTCAAGGCAACCTTGTGACTGGGGATGGTAAGCTGTTGACATCTGTTGCGAGATACCTAACAGTTCTAAGACTTTTTGAAACAAGTCACTTGTGAAATTACTGCCTTTATCACATTGAATCTCTTTAGGGATTCCAAATGAAGTGAAAAAATGAAGTAGACATTTTACAATGGAACTAGCAGAAATATTCTTTAAAGGGTAAACCTCTGGATATCTTGTAGCAGTATCCATAATTGTAAAGAGATACTGGTTCCCTTTCTTTGTTTTAGGCAGTGGTCCTACACAGTCAATTACGATTCTTTCGAATGGATCTGAGACTACTTGAATAGGATGTAGAGGAGCTTTTGGAATTATTTGATTAGGCTTTCCTCCAACTTGACACACATGACATGACCTGATAAACATTGTAATATCTTTCTTCATACCTGGCCAATAGAAATGTTGAAGTACTTTCTTGTAGGTTTTTTGAATACCTAAGTGACCTGCTAAACCATCATGTGCAAGTTTCATGACTGATTCCCGAATTGACAAAGGAATTACGACTTGATGTACTTCTGACCATGTATCTAAAGCACGGAGTTCAGGAGGGCGGAATACTCTCATTAATAGTCCGTCATGATAATAAAAACCAGGGACCTTGTGATCTTTAAGGCTGTCTGAAGCAACATGTCTGCACTTAGCAAGAGAGGGATCATCGTTCTGAGCTGCAGTTAATTTAATTCGGGTGATCTCTTGAGAGATCAGTTTATCAACTGGATTCTGTTTTTCTATAGGGGATTTATTTAGCTTCTGAGAACGAGTAACAGCACATACAGGGAAAATATGAGGTTGTTTCTGATCCAGTTCTTTAGTTGGGCTATAGGGTAAAGGCTTAGCAACAACATTAACTGTAGGGTACACTAATTTCCCTGCTAGATCATGTCCCAGAATTAAACTTATTCCCTTTATAGGAAAAGCCTTTTCTGTCACAGCTATCTTTACTTCACCTGATACAAAATCAGAACTGAGAAAAATATTTGCTAGTTTATAACTAATCTTTGAAGTTAAGTCTTTAACAAGAACTTTTTCACCTGTATATTTTGTCTCAATTCCAGGTAAAGCAGACCTAAGAATTATACTTTGAGCAGCTCCAGTATCCCTAAGAATGAGTATGGGATATGATTTACTCATTGAATCAAGAGAGACAGTTCCCCGATATTTAAAATCACTGAATGGATCTGGAGAGTTTACATTTGTAACACTTGACACTGGCTTTGGTTCAAAAGCTTGAATACTTGGATTTATGAATGGTCTTACATTTATGCCAGACTTTCTACACTTTGGGTCTTTGCACTTGTCTATGGTATGACCTGCTCGCTTGCAATAAGAACAAAAGTTTAATGGAGTAATTTTGCCAGCTTTACCACCATTAGCCCCAAGGTTTTCACCAGAGGAGGACTGTACATAAAATCTGACCTTGTCTACCTTACCCAGCTGTGACCTTTTCAAAAGCGCAAATGAATCTGCTATTTGTGCTGCTTTAAGGAGATCTGTTTCACCCCTCTCCTCTATATGCTTAAGAATATCGAAGGGTAACTTTCTTTTTACTTCCTCTAAAATAAGAAGATCTTTTAATTGTGAGAAAGATTTAGTGGAAGTTGAATCTAGCCATTTGTTAAACAATCTAGCTTTCTCAGTAAAAAATTCAGCAAAGGTACTATGAGGAGACTTAGTAAGACTTCGAAACTTTTGTCTGTAGCCGTCAGGTGTGATTGCATAAGCATCAAGAATAGACTGTTTTACAGATTCATAATCATCAATGCAATCAAGATTTGAAAAGGTGATGGCAGCTTTACCGCTTAATTTAGGTTGGAGAAGCCAAGTCCACTCAGTATAGGGCCATTTAAAGTGTTCAGCAGTTTTCTCAAAGTTACGGAATGAGCCATCAGGATCATTTTCAAGAAATGAAGGAACAAGGGGTAAATTCTTAGTTAAATTAAACGATTCATTAATTACAGAATCATTATCACTTGTGCCATTTAATTTAGCTTCTAGTTTCCTTTCTTCTAATTTAAGTTTAGCCATTTCTATTTCTCTGTCTCTTGCCCTTTCTTCTAATTTTTGTCTTTCTACCTCTAGTTTTAAATCTAAAGCATACTTTTCAAACTCTAGTCGAGCAGAGGACCAAGACTCCTCTTTCTGCTCAGACAGAATAGAAATGTCTCTAACTTCAAGCAGCTCGGGATCTTGAGGGTTTAAATAATCAATGGCTTCAGGGGGAAGTAATTCTTTTTGAATTAGGTTATCTATTACTAGTTCCTTAATTACCTTCTTAGTTGCTGAACCTGAATGAGGTACCGAGAAGTACTGAGCAATAAAGCGCCAATCATCTTTCTTAATAGATTCGGCTAATTGTTCAAGTGTAGGATTCTCACAAAACTCTTTAGCATTAAATGTAGACAT